AGAAGCTTTCAACTCAACTTTGTGCTAGGAGATTCTAGTGACCTTAATTCATATCAAAATTCATTCTCACACTAAAAAATTGACTTTTACACATATAAACAAATTTAAGAATCACCCGATATGACCTTACATGTAAATGAAGAATAGTTAGGGTCTTAACTTTAAAAAAAAAAATTGGGGTGTTACATCCACCCTCCACCTTGATGTGGGGGGGAGGGGAGGGGGGAGCGGGTTGACGTATCAATATTAACAAGGTTACAAGGGAAGAAAACCATAGAAGTTTATAAAATTTGGATCGGGTTCATTTTATTCCGCCATTGGACTTAGTCGAGTTTATTCTCAAATGGTCCACACAAAACAGAAGCAACTATTGAAGAAGTGTCCCAAACAATTTATCAGCCTCCATGAGCCTAATTCAAAATATTGTAGATATTTTATGTTAGAATATTTGTAAATTAGAGCTTGTTACAAAGAGATAGTTATATATATTAGGAACATTCTATTTTTTTCGTCTGGTAGCATAACAAAATATGTATAAAGCAATAAATCATTAATGAATAAACAGTCAAAAAAATTCCAAATCGATTTCCTCACAATCTTTGGCAGATATGCCTAGAAAAAGTTTGACAGTATTTGACCACAACCTTTTGGCTATAGCTAGGTAGTTAGAAAATCGAAATGAGATAAGATATATAATTTTGGTTTTATATCTATATATTCCAGCAGGGCGGAGCCACCTTATACTAAGGGGTTTATCCGAACCTCTTCCGACGAAAAATTATCTTATTTATATATGATTAAAATAATTTTGTATGTATATATAGTAAATGTCGAACTCCCTTCGGCTATTTCGTCTATCTATTTCTACAAATTTTGAACTCTCTTATTAAAATTTTTGGCTCCGCCACTGTTCTCGAGAGTCGAGAGTTGGTAGTGGTGTCTAATCAAAGAGGACAACTTGGTAATGATGAAAGAGGTCAGCATGAAATTAGATATACATTGACAAAAAAAGTTGTTGCAACTAGGCTAAACATTTTGGTGAATGTACGATGTTCTTTTCTTTTATGTCATCACCCTACTAGTTGTTTCAATTGCATCACCTCCTAAATTATTTTTTTTATTACATTTATATATTTATATAAATTCAACCCCCAAATTATTGATGGCTGACGAATAACAAACCTTTCTCATTAAAGTATTAGGAAATATTTGGAAAAACTCACATTCTATATTATATAAGCCAACAAGGCTAGGATCAACACTGCATCCCCCTATTGTACAAAAAACAAGGTGAATTGTACTAAAAAAAAGGGTATTTAGGTACTTTAACTGCAATTGCAGATGTTCCAAATGAGTACAGTAAATAGCAAACACGTGTTATATTTATGTCCACATTTTTCTTTCTTTACTTTCAGCTTCATCTTTTCTCATTCTTACTCTCTTCCTTTTCCAATCCTCACCATCTCTCTAAAATAAAATTTATGTAGAGAATTTCAAATCAATAAACCCAATAACTATTAGATGCTTCAAAAGTCTAAGGTGATAGCATAACAAATTCAAGAATAAAAAATAGAATAGAAAAAGAGAGGTAGTAAACGTAAAAAGAAATTTTCTTGACTGATACTTTTCAGTGTTGCTACTGTAGCTTTATATAGCACAAAAACACACATCAGACTTAAAACTAAAAATTAGAAACTATCCTACAAAGTTTTTTCCTAAAAATTCAATATTATATAAGCCAACAAGGCTAGGACCAACACTGCATCACCCTATTATACAAAAAAAAAAGCGAATTGTACTAAAAAGAGGGTTATTTAGGTACTTTAACTGCAATTGCAGAGGTTCCAAATGAGTTAAGTAAATGGCAAACACTTGTTATATTTGTGTCCACATTTTTCTTTCTTTACCCTCTGCTTCATCTCTTCACATTCTTACTCTCTTCCTTTCTCAATCCTCACCATCTCTCTAAAACAAAATTTATGTAGAGAATTTAAAATCAATAAACCCAACAACTATTAGATGCTTCGAAAGTCTAAGGTGATAGCAAAACAAATTCAAGAAGCAAAAATAGAATAGAGAAAGAGAGGCAGTAAACGTGAAAAGAAATTTCCTTGACTGATAATTTTCAGTGTTGCTGTGCAGTCTTTATATAGCACAAAAACACACAACAGACTTAAACAAAAAATTAAGAACTATCCTACAAAGCTTTTTCCTTAAAACTAGATGACAACCCACGTATAAAACTACTTCCTAAAGACTAGGACAAACCTATCAGATAGGAATTTTATTTTCTAACAACTCTTATTTTACTGATGAGACTCTTTTAAAACTAACACCCTCCTTTAAATTGAAAGCTCTCGTGCTTTAGTTTAACTTCAACTTCTTGAACTCTTCCATAGTGCCAATTCCAATCAACCTCCTCAAATTTTGGAAAGGAAACAACTTGAGAGGTATGGTAAAGATATCTGCCAGTTGGTCTTCACTTCGGCAATATTCCAACTCTATAGTTCCTTCGTCGTTGAGATCTCACAGAAAGTAATACTTCACGTCAATGTTCTTTTTTCCTTCCATGTAGCACATAATTTTTTTATAACTTGATGGTAGAGTTGTTGTCGCAAATAATTGTAGTTGCTCTTTCTTGTTTGAATTGTAGTTCTTCAAAAAATCTTCTTAACCAAACAACTTGACAAGCACAAGCTGTAGCAACTACAAATTCCGCTTCAGTACTCGATAAAGTGACAATATTTTACTTTCGGGAAGACCACGAAACAACCCCTGTACCTAGCAAAAAAACATAACCGAAAGTGCTCTTTCTGTCGTCTTGATCTCCTGTATAGTCGTTGTCCGTAAAGCCAATCAAATCTGACTGTTCTCCTTTCTGGTAGAAAATGCCAAAATCTTTCGTTCCTTGTAAGTAGTGAAGAATTCTCTTCGCAGCTAGAAAATGCATCTCTGTTGGACTCTCCATCTATCTACTTACAAGACTTACTGCATACATAGTGTCGAGTCTTGTGGCATTTAGGTACATTATACTGCCCACAATTTGTTTGTAAAGCGTGCTATCCACCTTAGTTCCTCTCCCAACTTTGTTTAGTTTTAAGCCAAACTCAACTGGTGTGTTGGTGGGATTGCAGTTTAGCATCTTGAACCTATCTAAAATTTCTCGCACATACTTCTTTTGGAAAAAATATATTCCATAATCACATTGCACCACTTTTAATCCAAGAAAGTAATGCATATTACCAAGATCAAACATCTCGAACTCATCCATCAAAGACTTCTTGAATTCGACAAACATGGCACTATCATTCTCAGTATATATAAGACCATCAACATATAAGCATACAATAAGGATTTTCGCATCATTCCCAATCTTCACAAAAAGTGTATGCTCATATGGACTCTTTTGAAAATCCATTTTCAGAAAATAAGCCTCAATGCGACTATACCAAGCTTGGGGGGCTTGTTTTAGTCCATAAAGGGCCTTTTTTAAGCGATAAACTTTATGCTCATTTCCAACCTTAACGCGAGGTTGTTCGATAAATACCTCTTCCTCCAAATATCCGTGTAGGAAAGCTGATTCGATATCCAACTGGAATATAGGCCATGAGTTTTGCACTGCCAATGCAATTACCATTCTGATGGTGTCATGCCTTGCAACTGGAGCATAAACTTCAGTGTAGTCCACACCGTACTCTTGCTTGTATCCCTTAGCCACCAATCACACCTTATATTTGTCAATTTCACCATTTTCCTTCAGTTTCGTCTTGTAGACCCACTTGACATCAATGGTTTTCTACTTCTCAGGAAGATCAATAAGCTCCCAAGTATCGTTCCTTTTAGTAGCTACAATTTCAGCATCCATCGCCTTTGTCCATTTTTCTTCTCTAACGACACTCTAAAAAACTGTAGGGTCGCAGTCCGCAAACAATGCAAAATGAGTAATTGCATCATCATTTACCTCAATTCCTGTTACATCATAGTTTGAAATTCATGCAGGCCTTTTACGAGAACGCCGAAGTGACTGAGCTGTTGAATCAGTTTCTTCCAAAGCTGCTGAAAAATTTCCACTAGTTGTTGGTGTAATTTCAGCGGTTGTAGGAGCATAATCCTCTAAATTTCCAGGTATTAATGCTGGTTCTTCAACTTTATTCTCAAATAGGACTGGGGTAGGCTGCTGCATATTCCAATCCCAAGTAGTTTCTTCAAAAAAAACATCTCGACTGATCAGAATTTTTTTTGTTTGTGGATTAAATAATTTATATGCCTTGGATGTTTCACTAACACCAAGAAATACACACTTTTCACTTTTATCATCGAGCTTCTTAATTTTCTCATTTGGGACATGTGCATACGCAATGCACCCAAAAATTCGAAAGTGATCTATAGTGGGCCTTCTTCCACTCCACGCCTCCTCGGGAGTCATGTTCTTAATAGAAAATGTAGGGCTTCTGTTTAAGACGTGAATGCTCCAAGTTATTGCTTCTGGCCAATAACTCTTTTTCACTCTTCATTTTGCTAACAAACTCCGAACCATATTGATGATGGTTCTATTTTAATTCCTCTCTGATACACCATTTTCTTGTGGTGTATAAGATGATGTAAGCTCTTTTCTAATGCCATCAGATTCACAAAAATCATCAAAAACTTTAGAGCAATACTCTCCACCACAATCCATCCAAAGAGTCTTGATTTATTTCCTGTCTTATTTTCTACATGAACCTTGAAGCTTTCAAATGCTTTAAAAGCCTCAGATTTTTCATGTAAAAAATAAACCCAAGTTTTTCAAGAAAAATCATCAGTAAACGTAATAAAGTATCGTTTACCTCCATTAGAAGCTGGTTTAATTGGGCCATAAATGTCCAAAAGTTCCAAAACATCATTGGCTCTCCAAGACTTTTCTTTGGAAATTGAGAACGATGTTGTTTGTCAACAACACATTCCTCTCATACTTGGGACGGAATTGTAATTTCAGGAAGACCTATCACCATATTTTTTTGTTAGAGAACTTTTAATCCGCCAAAACCCAAGTGACCATATCTAAAATGCCACAACCATGACAGATCTCTTACTTCTGCTTTCAAACAACGGTGAATATTCTCTATCTTCAGCGGGAACAACCTGTTTGAACTCATTTTCACAACAGCAATAGCCCGTCTAGTAGGATTATAAATCTTACATGCACCTTTCTCAATAGTTATAACATATCCTTTTTCTTGCAATTGACCAACACTTAGCAGATTGCTTTTCAAAGTAGTAACATATAGCACATTTGAGATCGTTTCTTCAAAACCATTCTTGGTTCTAATCTTAATATCATCCTTTCCAATTGCACTCACAGTGGAAGAATCACCAAAACTAATTGTTGAACGGAAGTTTTCATTTAAAAAGGAAAAAAGAAGACTTACTTCCACACATGTGATTACTGCAACCCGTATCCAAATACCAAACGTTTTGTTCAGGTTCCTTCTCTACTTGGACTGCCATCAACAATGTTTCAACTTCGTTACTTTCAACAAAATTTGACTTCTCATACTTGTCATTAGGCAGCCTAGTATAACATTCAGACTTATAATGACCAAATTTATGACATCGATAGCATTCTACTTTGGATTTGTCAAAATTCCTTCCTCTGAAGATAACATCATTGGCTCTGAAATTTATGACAACGAGTATTAGTAGATGCCTTCAAAGCCTGCTCTTCAGAAGATGAACTACGGTTCATATTTTGCTTATGTACCAATAAGGAACTTTGCAATTCGTCAAGTGATAACTCATCTATATTTTTTGACTCCTCAATGGAGCAAACTACATAGTCATACTTCGGCGTTAGGGAGCGCAATATCTTTTCCACAATTGTGACATCAGTCATCTTTTCACTATGAAATCACATTTTGTTGCTTATCTCCATTGTTTTATAACAGTAACTCATTACAGACTCTTCTTCCTTCTTCTGCAAAGTCTCAAAATCACGTCTCAAGGCTTGAAGTTGTGCACACTTCACTCTTGTCACGGCCCGAAGCTACCCCCAAGACACGGACACGGGACCTAGGATCACGAGTGACCCTAAGTTAACCTTGTTGGCATATCATAAGCATACTAAAGATAAACTAAAGTAAAGAAATACTGTGTGGAAGCTAAATCATCATGTAAATTGAAATGATGGGGAATACCCATCTACTATCTGAATAAATGAAAAGTGAGAGTTCAAAAACAACTGAAAAGTCAAACTCAAAACACTAAAGCTGAAACTAACTATGTCTAAAGTAAGCCTCTAAACTGACTAGAAGTACTGCGGCATGCCCCAATTAAATCTAGCAAAACCTGAAAACTAAAGACTAAAATGGAAAGATAACATGTCAATTGTCCTTGAAGAATGAGGACTCACCACTAATGTTGTTGAACTGAAGATTGAGATCCGATCTATGTGTGATCTGATTGCTGAGGACTTGAACCTACATCACGAGAAGATGTAGTGAAGAGTATGTGTCAGTACTTGAAAGGTACTGAGCATGCAGTATAGAGTAAAGCTGAATAATAACATAACTGAACAAGAAATAAAGCAAGGATATAATTTGATCATGATAATGATACTGGAAATACTGAACATGGCTAAACTGAATGCAATGACCATGTTTATAACATGCTGAGACTGAATAGTGAACTATACAGATAACATGGTCAATGTAATAAAATCTGACTGAACTGTAAAGGAGCTACTAATAAACGACATAAAACCACATGCGCTAAATGTGGAGTCTGATGTATACGCTACCAGAGGTATAGAGGCATGTTGGCGTGATCACTAAAATAATGTCCACAGAGGGGACTTACAATCTACGGGGCACGTAGTTCTGGGACTTGAGGGTGACTGACCGTATTTCACTCGGCATTAAGCTTCTCCTAATTGATTAAGTAATTAACATTCTATTACTGAAATGTTGTAATAATGGATAGCTCAAACATGCAACATTAATATACTGATAATGGACATTCAAAACTGAGGCATGCATTTATATATCTGAAATATCTGACCTCGCATGTGTAATTCATGAACTAAAAGAACTACATAGCTAGGGTTCTGAATTCATGAAAGAATCTACACCAAAAGATACTGAATTCATGATAATCTAAATTAGATCATTCTAACAGCTAAAACCCAATAATTTCTAACATTCAAGAAACCCTAGGTCTAGATAATATTAGGGGAATCAAGATTCTGACTGAAATCTAGGGACCTAATTGGCGAAAGGAACCCACTAGTGAAATCCCACATACTTGGTGACGAATTCCACTTAGAAATCTTTCGATTTTGGGGCTGAAACTGATGACAACCTGTTGCATTCTTGAACTAGGGTTCTTGACTTCTTTCTCCTCTTTACATTCTAGTTTTCTAAGTTTTGGTGAATGATCTAACTTAGGTAAGTTCTAGTTTGTTTACTAGGCTAAAACTGACCAAAACTACATAGTTTAGGGGTTAAATGACGTAGTTTAGGGGTCCAACGCATAAGGAAAAGACCAAAATACCCCTGACTTAAAAGTAGTCGGGATCATCGACGGATAGGATCGACGGATCGTGGATCAACCGACGGTCCGTGCTGGTCAACCATCGATCGACGACTGTGACTGGAATTTGGGGGTCTGACTTACGGCCCTGGACCACGATTGTGGCCTGACCTACGGTTCGTAGGTCCCAGTGTGAGTCGATAAATAGCCAAAAATTTGGGACTTTTCTGGGGAGGGCTTCAGGTGACCATCCATGGACCACCATCACGGATCGTGGGTCACTCTACAGTCAGTCGGTGGCACTTGTAGTTTCTGAAATCTGCAATTTGATCTGTCTAGGATACGGGGTGTTACATTATCTCCCCTTTGGGAACATTCGTCCTCGAATAAAGACTAAACTAGCTGAAATGGAGGGAGAAAACTGCACCCCTATCGTTAAACATTTGAAACTAATTTTTGACTGAACTAAGTTCCAGTAGCATGCAGATACACTGAAAATGCAAGTACAACCTGAAGGAACATGATGCTAAGACTAAAACTGCGCCTGAATGACTGAAAAACTGAAGAGGAACTATTACCTCAAGTTGAAGTGGAATCGAAAGGAAAGAGGTGAGGATGCTTGGCCTTTATGGCTGCATCTATTTCCCAAGTAGCTACCTCTACGGACTGACTCCTCCATGAAACCTTGACAGAAGCGACTTCTTTGTTTCTCAACCTTCGAACCGATTTCAACTGGTACCTCTTCATAAGTGAGACTATCATTCACCGCCATGCTTTCTAAAGGTACTATAGATGCTGGATCACCCATACACTTCTTCAACAATGAAATGTGAAAAACTGGATGCACTGCTGCTAGTTCTGTTGGCAACTCTAACTCATAAGCCATTTTACCAACCCTTTTCAAGATCTTGTAAGGGCCTACATATCTAGGACTGAGCTTTCCCTTCCTACCAAATCTCATCACCTCCTTCATAAGCGACACTTTCAGGAAAACCCAATCATTAACTAGGAACTCTAATTCCCTTATCCTTATAGCCGCATAGGACTTCTAGCGACTCTGGGCTGTCTTGAGTCTATCTCTAATGAGTTGTACTTTCTCTATAATGTCATGAACTGAATCTAGCCCTATTAAGGCTGCTTCACCTACTTCAAACCAATCAATTAGAGATCTACATCTACGCCCATACAATACCTCATAAGGGGCCATCTGAAGCTGGAATGGTAACTATTATTGTACGCAAACTCTATAAGAGAAAGGTGATCATCCCAACTACCCTTGAAATTGATCACGCAAGCTCTCAACATGTCCTCTATGGTCTGAATGGTACGCTCTGCCTGCCCATCTGTCTGCAGATGAAATGATATGCTAAGATTAACTTGGGTACCAAGACCTTTCTGAAATGACTTCCAGAAATGAGAGGTAAACTGAGGACTTCTATCTTAGATGATAGACAAAGGCACCCCATGCAACCTGATTATCTCATTAATGTAAGGCTTGGCGTAGTCCTCTACCGAATCTGTAGTCTTGACCGCCAAAAAAACGTGCAGACTTAGTAACTCTATCAACTATCACCCAAATGGAGTTGTGCTGTTTGCGAGTACGAGGTAAACCTGTGATGAAGTCCATGTTGATCATTTCCCACTTCCAAGTAGAAATGTTGATCTCTTGAATCATACCTCCTGGTTTCTGATGTTCTACCTTGACTTGCTGACAATAGGGGCACTTAGCGACAAAATCCGCTATATCCCTTTTCATTCTATTCAACCAAAAGACTTCCCGTAGATCACGGTACATCTTAGTGGCACCTGGATGAATAAAATATCTGGATTTATGGGTTTCTGAAAGAATCTGCTGTCTCAACTGACCCACCTTAGGAACACATAATCGACCCTGATAGCGAAGCACACCATATCCCCCTTGGGAGAAAACCTTAACTCTCTGCTGATGCTAATGGACTGCACCCTTTAGTTGAAGCAATAACGGTTCACTGTCTTGATTTTCCTTAACCTCCACTACCAATGATGATTTTTACCCATTCTGAACTATTACACCACCATCTGATATGCTCATAAGATGAACTCCTAAGCGAATAAGCCTGTGGACATCTTTTGCTAGTTCCTTTCTTTCTTTATCAACATGTGCTACACTACCCATCAATAGTCTACTAAGACCATCTGCTACTACATTGGCCTTACCAGGATGGTAATGCACACTCATATCATAATCCTTGAGAAACTCAAGCCATCTCCTTTGGCGAAGATTCAACTCTTTTTGGGTGAACACATACTGAAGGCTCTTATGGTGTGTGAACACATCTACGTGAACACCATACAAGTAATGTCTCCAAATCTTAAGTGCAAACACCATTGCTGCAAGCTCGAGGTTATGAGTTGGATAGTTCTTCTCATGCACCTTAAGTTGTCTAGAAGCATATGTTATAACCTTACCTCGCTGCATCAACACACAACCTAGGCCGACTCTAGATGCATCACAATAGATAACATAACCGTCTAAACCCTCTGGTAGAGTAAAAAATAGGAGTTGTAGTCAACCTAATTTTTAGTTCTGCGAAGCTTTTCTCACAATCATCTGACCACTGAAACTTAACCTTTTTCTAAGTCAACTTAGTCAATGGAGAGGCTATAGATGAAAATCCTTCCACGAATCTTCTGTAATTGCTAGCCAAACCCAAGAAGCTTCTGATGTCTGTGGGAGAGGTAGGTCTGGTCCATTGTTTCACTGCATCTATCTTTTGAGAATCCACTCGAATCCTTTCACTAGACACTACATGCCCAAGGAAAGTAACTGACTGCAACCAAAACTCACATTTTCTAAACTTAGTGAAAAACTGGCCATCTTTGAGAGTCTGCAGGACATACCTTAAATGATTCTCATGTTCTTCCTCATTCCTAGAGTAAATGAGGATATCATCAATAAAGATGATAACGAGCAAGTCCAAGTACTGCTTGAACACTCTGTTCATCAAATCCATGAAAGCTGCATGAGTATTGGTTAGTCCAAATAACATAACTACAAATTTATAATGACCATACCAAGTTCTGAAGGCTATTTTTGGGATGTCACTGTCTCTGACTCTGAGCCGATGATAACCAGATCTGAGGTCTATCTTTGAGAAATGACTAGCACCCTGAAGTTGGTAAAAAAAGCCATCAATCCTGGGGATGGGATACTTATTCTTAATTGTGACCTTGTTCAACTGTCTATAATCGATGCACATTCTGAGAGAACCAATTTCTTCTTTACAAACAACATTGGTGCACCCCATGGGGAAATACTGGGTCTGATGAAGCCCTTATCTAGAAGGTCTTTCAACTGCTCTTTCAATTCCTTAAGCTCAACTGGAG